TTTTTACTGTACCAATATTTTAAATTGGCCTTTGAACTTATCTTTATTGCATGGCAAAAAAAAGCCTTACCTTGCCAAAGCACTGACAGAACCCATTGATCTAATGGCATTGTTGAGTGATCCAAATGCAAATTTTGCATGCAACAATCAGAGGCAGCAATGGACAGCGCTCTGATCCAGTGGCATACAGGCATCGTCAGATTGACAGTACTCTAGCCCAATGATGTTGGGGGGATCCAGTGGGGGCAGCAATCATATTTCAGGGTGGCCGTGCCACTCTTTATCACAACCCTGCTAAAATGTAGCGCCAGTACGTGCGCTCATTGGTGCCCCCTCCAGCTGGTGGCACCCTAGGCGACTGCCTAGCTTGCCTATGCATAGAAACGGTACTGTCTCACATATTTCCATTTAAACACACTCACACGGTATCTGCTTCAGAGCATGATGTTGAGAATTTCACATCTCCATGTACTGCACAGCAGATCAAGAGCATTAGCAACACAAAAGTCTCCTTTGTGCGACTGGAAGTCGAATTTTACTGATTTTTGTTCTCTGCTGCTCCTACACAACCCCTGACAGCAAACGTCATGAGCGAAACAGCTATTCTGAACTCAGTGACCCCCCATGCACACACAGAGACATATGTTGCCTTACCGATCTGAAACGCTTCGGTTTGACACCCTGCAGCTGTGGGTGATTATCATCATTCATCCTTGCTAATGGATTCAACCTTATTCCTCTTTCTGTCCCTTATCCTCTTCTCCCTCATCCTTTGTTCTAATTAATCAATGCTTCTGATCAGTATGCGTTACAGCAAAAAGTAATATACTACTGTAATATTATTACTTTTGTAATGCGTTACTCCCAACACTGGTATCGACAGAGCATGTTCACCTACTAACAGAGCAATAGAAGCAATGTTGAATCGAGAGAGAGTCAACCATATTGGGGCACAATGGTGAGTCTGGATCTATTCAAACGAGGGCGTGAATTTTGAGTGTCATGTTAATTAAAGCTTGTGGTAACAACTGAAAGCCCTCATTAGCAGGGTGATTTTCTTCACGGCAACATTAGCGTGCAGAATGCATAGGTCCGTAACATAGGGAGCATATCTTAACCAGTAAAACTACTACTGCAAGGCAAGAGGCTAATAAGGTACCAATACACAGAATTAGAGAGAGAGGGAATGAAAATGATATTTCAGGTGTATCTCTCATAAGCCACTGTCTTGTAAAGCACACTAGAGATTTGTGTTTTTCTTTAAATGTCATTTAGAAGATGCTACTCCACCTAAAGGTCAAAACCATCTTATTAACGCAAATAAATAAATAAATCAATAAGCAAACATCCATTCTCTCCCCATTTGCCTCTGTAAATCCCCAATCCCCCAGCAGCCTCCTGTTTTTACAGAAGAAACACAAGTGTAAAACCTCAAAGTAATTTCAAAACAGACTCTGCCCTCATACGGTCCAAATCTCTCTCTCTCTAACGGCATTAAAGCGCAGATAAAACCCTGCCTGGACCTGACGTGGATGTTCCAGCACTGTGTTCAGGGCCAGATTAACAAATGGACCATGATGCAACTGAATCAGTGCTTGGACAATTTATGCAACACAAAATCTGATGTTTCACTGCAGGACACGCAACATAGGGTTCGCAGTCATTTGGTCTCATTCACTCATATGCCAAAGGTTAATCCCGTAGCAAAAAAAATCACAAAAAAGATGGTATTAATATCTCAGTTGTTTCTCCTAGATAGCAATGTGATTGTATGGTGAGCAAATGGAGATCCAAGAGTCTCCTGCTTCTCAGATTTTTTGTTTTCAGAGGAATAAATGTATTTTCTAGAAATTCAGAAAAAAACCTTAGATATCGGCAAACAAAGTTTGCAATCAAAAAGATGAAGATTTCAAATATTTATCAAATTCTTCATATCTGTTCGAATTAGACTTCACATTGATTTTTATTGCACTGTACTCTCATTGTATGTCAACTGTCACATTAATGTACATTTTTTTTATTTCTTCTATGGAATTTTAGGAGACTTTATTGATTTTTCAGTAATGCTTGTATGTAAATATCAGCTTTGTCTTTGTTTCTCCTAAACTTCCTAGTGATGCACTGATCGCTGATATTACTTCTCGCTGATATTACTAAGCTGATAATTATTTACATTATAGCTGATAACCCATAAATGCAAATGTAAAATGCTATACAATGTTGTCTAGTTTTTAAAAAAAAAACACTAAAATCAATGGTTTAACATGAATTTAGGCATCACGACATCATAATTCACAGTATGAAATGATTTTTTTATATTTGCAAAAGATTGATTTAACATTTTACAGTGTTAAGTTATTAGTGTTTTAAAGATTAACTTTGCTGCCATCTAACACTCATGTAAAGGTAAATCTAATGAATTAAATATCCACTATACCAATAAATAAATAAAAAATACATCAAATAATTGACCAATAACCAATATGGTACAGATATAGCCTATCATGCATCCCTAAAATAAGTAAGAGCAATGTCCAAGCAATAACATTTTCCTACACTCTGTCTTCCATCTTGCACTCTTTTGTTTTACTTCAAGTCTTATCCAGCCGTCTTGCCAAGAGAAAACACAGAGCCATGAAATTCAACAGTAGAGCAGCTAAATTAAATGTTACTGGTGTAAATAATACAGAGGAGGAAGAAAACACTTCAAACAGATGACAGGGCAGAGAAGAAAAGTTAACCATTCACACACAATATAGGCTGGATATATCTGATTAACCGATTTGATTATTGCTCTAATGAGGACTAGTTCTCCTAGCTGACATGCTGAGTGTTCGTATGGCAGCAGGCCTGTGTTTTACATGGTAATGCAATGTCTCAGTCTCACCAGAGAAGCAGAACTGCAGTGCTGTATTTCACTCTGACTGAGTGAGGTGGAGACCCCGATAATGTGCACATCAGTGTGAACGAATCAATAAATAAAAGAAGCACCAGGCGTGTAAAACACACTACTGCATTGGTCAAGAGCACAGACAGAAATCCTCAGAATCAACAGGTGTGTTATGATGGGATACAAACCTGAACCTACTGGCACAATCAACTGTGAAAAACTGCTGGGACGTGAAAATGAACCCTTATATTTGGATTGAACTGAATGGGAAACACTCCCACACACAGGCAGTGAGAACGCATGACGTCAGTGGGGTTGGAAATGTCATAGTGGTTTGCATTGTTCAGCACATGTACCTGAGAACATTAGTCACAGTGACACACACTTCTACAGCGTGTTTTATTGATGAGAAGAGTCTCTCTCGCTCTCATCTCAGGTCAAGTCTCAGATCCGGGTGGAGACTGGATCTCTGGTGTGAATGTAGTAATGAATGTAGTAATGAGATCTGCGCTATTCTGAAATCCATGTAAAACTAGCCAACACGTTAACACAACAATAAGGACAATATATAGGGTTATAGTTCAACGTAATGCCCACAATGACCTGTTAAGAGATTCGGTCATGCACATATACACAGATAACTCTCAAATGAAAGCTTAAATAAGTAATTATGTGTCTAACCATTTGTAATTCTACCTCAGAAAAAGACAGTCACCTGAACACAGACCCAACTGGTATTCATCAAGGACCAAACCATTTGGCAATGTAACATTCATGAGTTACTGTCCACAATAACTGAAGTCCTTAATCTTGTTGTTTTGGGGTCACAGGGCTCACAGACAGGTGCTTCAGCCAATGATCAGCCATCTAAACAGGAAGTCAAAGACCGTTTTGACTTCAGCTCTGGTTTCAAAGCCACAGTGACACAGCAGCTACATACAGTACATATGATAGTAGCTGTAGCAGCATATATATAGCCGATTACTCAAGTCATATGCCGTCTAATCACTCAAAATAATCACCTAAATTAATCCTCCACATTCTCTTAAAACAAATTGTGTCAAACGTCTACTCGCATCAGTCATGAACACACAAATAAATGGCCTGTGATTTATGAGGGACAGGGTTGAAGTAAATGGGGCTATACAGCTCTGCAGTTGCCTTCTGTTGTTAATGTGAGGGAGAAACGCTAAAGGATGTTCCTCTGCTTGCTTCACACACACTTAAATATTAATTGGTGCATAATAGGGATGAATAAAGTCTAGCCTGGGGCAGCAAGTTAAATCCAAACCTACTGCTGCTTCAGGCAGGCATGACTGCAGTCAGCAACCATGGTCATTAGGGTTAGATGCTAATAGCAGTTAACTCAGAAAAGAAAGAAAATCCACAAGCTGCAGGGAAACGGCTTCTCTTTCGATGAGGTGTAATGTTATACTGTAAACAGTTGTGTTTGTTTAAGTTGCACTTTGGTGGTTTAAAAGACCTTGTACATGGGTGTACTTAAAGGGATAGTTCACCCAACAAAGGAAAATTCTGTCATCATTTACTCACCTACATGATGCTCCAAATGTGTATGACTTACTTTATTCTGCATAACACAAATGAAGAATGTCCAACTGGACCCTATTAACTTTCACTGTATGAACTAAAACATTCTTAAAATGTCTTCTTCTGTGTTGTGCAGTCATACAGATTTGGAACGACACGAGAGTGAGTAAACAATGGCAGAATTCTTAATTCCACTGTCAGAAAGGTTGTGCAAAAATTGTACCTTTAGGGGTACAACAGTTCGTCACTGAGGCAGTACCCTTAAATGGACAACTTTTTACCTTATCTACCCCTAAAAGGTGCATATTAGTGCCTTTTAGAGTAGTTATATGTACCCCTAAAGTTCTATTTTGAACCCTTTAGGGGTAAATAAGGTACAAAGTTGTCCCTTTAAGGTGGCAAGCTCCTGTACCCCTGAAGGTACAATTTCTGCACACAGTGATGAGTGGACTATCCCTTTAAGACTTAACCTCTAAATTGCATGAGGGGTGTGGCTTGATGTGCATTCAGGGTTAAAAAGTGTAAAAATATACAGAGAGAAGTCATTCAGAGACAAAATGACTCACCCCAGTGTTGTCATGGTTACAATGGTGTACCAGAAGGAGGCCGGGATGCTGGTGAACTTGCTGGACGAGGAGCCTTTCTCAGCGTAGAACATGACTGTGGCAAAGATGATGATGGCCATGGTGAGGGAGAAGAGGAGGAAGCCGAGCTCGGACGCGCAACTCTTCAGCGTGTAGCCAAGGATCCGGAGACCCTGGGAGTGGCGGGAGAATTTAAAGATCCGGAAGACGCGGAACACCCGTAGCGTGACGAAAGCTCCGCTTACGTCCTCGTTGTTGGTCATGACGAGCCCAATGTAATACGGCAAGATGGCCACCACATCGATAATGCTCATCACACTTCTCATGAAGCGGTACCTGCTGGGCGCCGCGAACAGTCGCATCAGATACTCCACCGTAAAGATCATTACGCAAGCCGTGTCCATGCAGAAAAACGCCTCTGTGTAGCGCTCACCGCAAGGGATGTCTCTCTGGTTTGGCATAGAACCGCAAGGAACTGTCTCAACCACATTGGTGATGACAGATATGGCGATGAAGAATCCGGTTACGTAGTAGAAAACCAGCGCCATTTGTTCTTATTGGTCGGTGCGACGGGCATGGGCAGGTTGGCCACGGGCATCCATCCTATGGCCGCCGCCCGAGCGAAGGGGAGCCAGGCTGCCACTCCAGCAGCCATGGGGACTCCAGCTGGGGTCGAGGGGACCAGATCAAACACCTTCACAACCAGCTTGACATTAGATTAGACCCCATCTACATAGAGAGAGACAGGAAGATGGGAAGATAGGAGCGAGTGAGAGGTTGGCAAATGTGGGAGGACAGGAAGAGGAGAGAGTTCCAGTGGGAGAGAGTGAGACAGATGTGAAATGGGAGTGAAAAGACGGCAATAGAGCGAACAGGATGCCAACAGAATAGAGAGGCAGAGGAAAAAGGGAAGCAATCATGTAGAGTACAGTAAAAAGAAGTACAGAAAAACAAAAATGCAAGATATGGACAGGGAAGAACGGACAAAAAATGGTAGACTGTGTCAGACCTCAAACCTTAAGCCTATTATTTAGAATCACTCTTTCTCCCTCAAAGCAAAGTACAAAATAGATAAAACAGCAAAACAAGACAGTTGTCCATTTTTATCATTTATAGCCCATACTTTGCATTAAAGGGTGCAGATAAAACAACGCATATATTCTGACACGAATATACTGTATTCTAACATACTGTGACACTGCACTAATAGTATAGTTTTAAAGACAATTGAATAATAACATCTGTTTTACCAGACAGGTTTTACCACGTCTGTTTTTACAGTAACAGCCCATATACAACATTATAGAACACATGCATCATGACAATTCGTAAAGAAAGCTGATTTTAAAACCATTTATTCTCAGCTCATTTAAGAGAGACCCCAAAGGGTAAGAGACGGTTTGTGCTCGAGACACAGAGCCCTTCAGCAACTGCAGTTAGAAACAGATGCGAACCTGTTGAGCTTAATGCAAAACAATAAAACGCCACGAAATATCGGTCGCTAAACACTGACAGTGCTGTAGTTCGTACTTTACGAGCATCAAGATTTGCACTGTTAACACTTCAACTGCGGTTATCCACAGCTGCGCCTTAATAAATATCGCATAATATGAACAAGGCTAATCAATATTATTATTATAATAGTAATTATTATTATTATTATTATTGTTATTAATAATAATGGTCCAAATGGTAAAACACAGCAAACTCGTTTTCAACAGTTGAATTTTTTTGTTACTTACCCATGAAAAATCTTTGAACTTTTCATTCATTCAGCTACATTTATGACATTTCCTCCTGACATCACTTCGAAAGTGTTCGCCGAAACATCCGCAAATTAATGATGAAAAGAGAAAACAAAAACCCAAGTGAAAGAATAAAACAATAAGGGACTAACCAGCGTGATTGGAGCAGCGGAAAATAATAGTTTAGTTTCTTATTTGGGTCCCTCAGTCACATCCTGCGCTGTTTAATGATCCATTTGCTCGGACGGACAGAAATGCCGCACTGACCGCTCGCGCGCTCGAAGTGACTTCCCCGAGGATGCTCGGCTGATGGATAGAGGTGGTAGTCTTTTCCCAACCTCTCTCTCTCGTTCTCTTTCTCTCTCTCTTCTCTACATACACCAGCACACTCCCTTTCTCCCGCCCCGAGGTCTCTCCGCTGCCAGGTCTCGCGCTCTCTAGTTAGGCGCTGCGCGCGCGATCCGTGTTCGTGGAGCAGAGAGAGCGCGAGACGCACAGAGGCAGTATATACTCGCTTTCGCGCCACTCTGTTTGACAGTGCGCTGATTTCACCTTACTTTATAGTGGGCTCACCCTGCTTGCCGCAGCTTTGTTACCTGCAACCAATATAGAAATGAGGACGAGGTAATTGATTTGCAAAGTCATTCGCAGCCCAGGTTTTAACCATCCATATTCAAAGATGACATTCAAAACGACTTCTCATTCTCATATTGATTCGTAATGCTAAATTTAAGTAAAGCTTAAATCAGAAAGTATTAACGCAGATGTATCAGAAGTAGGCTAAGCTATCAGGATTAAAAAAAAGGTTTGTGTGTGTCATGATTCACATAATGTTTATCTGTTTTAATCTTTGTGTGATGCAAGACATTGATGCAACAAATTACTAAAATTATATGTGTGTGTGTGTGTGTGTTGAGAGAAACGTGTAAATGTTGTAGGCTAAATACATTTAAAGTAGGCTACTCGTTAGTATTTGAAGGGCTCGTAAATTGGCCAAGTCATGTTATAGCTACAACTTTAAATGTAATAATGATAATGTTCATGTGAGTGTTATTATGGTGGTCTCGCTCAGCCAGACCTTTGACTAGACTGCAAAAGGTCGGGTCGATAGCTTATTTTAGCCAAGAACCGCCCACTTAGACAGAAAGAGCTGTTTGACTGATGTGTAAAGCAATCAGTCACAGTTCGTTTTGCTTATACATATAGGTACGGGGCTATTTGAACTAGTTTGTAACGCAATTATCGGCTGATATTCAAAATAATATTCAAATAATGACGCAGCTGTTTAAGAAATAGCGGAAAATGTGTAAACGCTATGTATAATGTAGTGGGAAAATAAGTAAACAATTCATAAAACAAACCATTCTCCCTCAAGCAAAACTCTGATTATCTTTTAAAGATTTGATGTCACTGTCTTGACAAACTTTGGGAAATCCAGTGATTATTTTGCTTGTAACCTGAAAGAATAATGCTGTGGGCATTCATGCATTCATAATTATCCTTCTGCTGTCATTTAATTTACATTTGTGTTTTTTGGACCAAAATCTTAACCAGTCCTGCAAATTAATGAGCAAACACAAAGCCATATGCACTGCTGTTCTCCATGCCCAAAATCAGGCCACTGGAACTTCATTTCTGTTCTCTTCTTATTGTGTACGTGTGAATTATTTATATCCCTCTTTTTTTCTCCTGTAACGTCCTTCAAACGTGGCTCAGTGGATGAATCCTCAGCAGTTATCGGCTTTGGAAATCCTTGATGGATTTAGTGTGCTGGCGTGCCTTGTGATGGAAGCGTGTTGTTGAGTGTGGAGCGGGTTCTGATATGTGTAACCACAGATTCGCTGCTTCAGTAAGCAATATTAAGCCTAATTAACTCTGCTGGGACTCTCAGCTCTCAAAGTGGGCCTGAAGGTTCTGAAGAATACCAATAAACTCAGATCAGTGGCGACAGTGTAAAAATGCACCCTAAATGCATACTTTTTCAGTTGAGTGAACAGCAGTGCTTTTTCTAAAAACACTCACTTACCTTAACACTGGCGAAGAAATACAACTCCACAAAATTCCTTCGTAATACACTTATTCGTTCCTGAAGTAATTATAAAGCCTGTAGTCTAGTGTAACTTATTTCGGACAGACACAAGAAAGCACTATCTTAAGGGAGTAAGGAAAGAGTTTTGCCTGAAGGCCCCTCTAAAATATCCTGTCAAAGAGAATAGACTGATCAATAGCATCCAACAATGTGTTTAAATTTACAATCACAGGCACGGAAACTCGTCCACTGTCTGCGGGTAAAAGGAAACCATTAATCAATTTAACTACAGCCGTTTCAGTGATCTGACGGGGAGCAAAACCAGACTGCAGTAATTCACGTAATTACAGGCTGTGTAAATGATCGTGGTAATATAATTTAATGTTTTAATGTAAATAGTAAATGTAAGGTTAGGTGATGGGTGCAGCTTGGGTGTGGCTGATGTTTTCGCTTCCTCTGAAGCTGTATAGTCAGGCTCTTTCCTCCAGCAGGAGGTTTTAAGGAAGTAAGGTGAGCAAACTCGGTTCAGTTGTCTCCTCTAACCTCGCTGTGAACACACCAGGGGTCTGTCGTAGACAGATTGGTCACTTTTAGTGCTCTGCTGAGAGTGACACATCAGAGCAATGAAGTGCAGTTCAGTTGTGATTCATGCTGATGTGCATTTAGCTCTGAGTCACAAATTCATAAATTCTGATTTTTACATCACAGTGGCCAAAGTGAGACACAAATAGTGCCCTCAAAAGTGCAGTGAGAAATTGCTGATAAATTATTGCACTAGTGTATGTACAGTATGTGTGTGTGTGTGTATATATATATATACCCCCTTCACTTTTTTCAATTTTGTTATGTTGCAGCCTGATACTACAATTGTTTAAAATAATTTTTTTCTCATTAATCTACACTCCGTACCTCATAATATATATATATATATATATATATATATATCTCTTCCCAACAGTGCTCAAATTCATTCATTTTATGATGCCTTCATAACGTTTTTGGATCTTTTAAGTTTTGGTTACCAGGATTTTCAATGGAGGGACAGAATCCTCTCAGGTTTCATTAAAATATCTTAGTTTGTGTGTCAAATATGAATCAAAGTAACTTTAATAAATGTACTAATTAATGTTTTTATTAAAACAAAAATTGTTGTGAATATGAGGCTGGGTAAAGGATATAAAATACAATTAGCTCAGTATAAAAACAGTCTAAATCAATTGAAAGTCTCCTCTATGGTAGAAAAACAAGTGTGTGTGTGTGTGTGTGTGTGTGTGTGTGTGTTCTTAAAGAGAGGAGTGGAGCAGATATCCATCAAAATGGCTAAATCTGTTTTGAAATGCCATGCCTTTTACAGTATATGCCAACTTTCAAGCACTAGACCCTAAAATTTTATTTGGAAATTTCCATAAAGGTTGCTTAGTTCAGTTGAATAAAAACATTTCAGCATGATAACTTATTTCCCTCTCACAGATCTGCATTATGGCACTGTTTCTCAAGCTTTTTTGTCTTACCTACCCCAATAGCCCCATCTGTAAATCTCAAGTAGGTCTTTATAGACAGAAAACCAGAAATATGTTCCTTTCATACTGGATATCCTTCAGCATGATTATTAATATCATTAAAGTGGCCATTATTACAATGATTAACTAAAACAGTCGATACCGTGGGTACTGAAAAACAGGCTCATCAAATACGTTCCTTTCTGATTAATGAGACACCTTGCTTGTTTGCCAAAGTAGTAACTTTTTTTTTAGCATAGAAAAACGATCAAAACTTTTCAATTTTATTTAAATCAAATACAATTAAGTTGTAATTTCTGGCTTTATAGGCTTATGTAAGATTTGTTAAATGTTTTTGAAAGAATTCTATTATGCTTATAGTACCAAAGATGCACTTATATGATGATTCAAATTGCAATACAGTAATATTGTGAAATATCGTTACAATTTCAAATTACTGTTTTCTATTTTAATGTTGTAAAATGTAATTTATTATTATGATGGCAAAGCTGAATTTCCAGAAGCCATTACTTCAGTCTTCAGTGTCACATGATCCTTCTGAAATCATTCTAATATGGTAATCTGGTGATCAAGAAACATTTCTTATTATTACCAATTTTGAAAAACCTTGTGCTGGTTATATTTTTTTGTGGAAACCATGGTTTTTTTAATGCTTTTCCAGGATTCTTTGATGAATAGAAAATTCAAAAGAGCAGCATTAAAAATAGATTTATTTTCGAACATTAAAACAAAACCAAAAAAATTACAAATCCAAACATTTGACTGGTAAGAGACGTTTATTCTTGAATGAATGAATGCCTTTATTGTCGTACAATGAAATTAGGATAGCTTCCCCCAGCATAATTTATTAATATCATTAAAGTGATATCCATCTTATCCATCAGTCCATATATACATGCTTGTATGGACCCCATTGGTGGCATTAAACAATTTTATCTATTCATATAAATGGTCATGTTAGCCATGACATTGTTGTGTCACATTGTATCTTTTTTATACATGCCGTGTTTCCACATTGCATAAGTCAGAATAACCTCTGTGTGACCTCCAGGCTGTAATCCGTGTTTCTCAGCAGAGATCTGGGGACATAAAGCTTTGATCATATGCAGCTATATTAATAGGTGCGTATGTGCTGTGCGTCTCTCTGATGATTGAAGTACAGTGATGTTCCCCGCCGTGAGGCTGAATAAATAAGCTGCAGGGAGACTATAGGAGCCACAGCTGTGGCGAGTCTGTTAAAGGTTACTGTATTCAAGGCCCAAAGGCACCGCGTAAGTGTGTATATTAGTGTGCGATCAAGGGTGTGTGTGTTTCTCCACGTAAACGTGTTGATGTACGTCAGCACAAAAAAGCTGTTTTGGCACCCAGGTGCACATCGTACGCGGCTCCCCCTCTCTTTCCAGACCACACACGTGCATGTATACACATATACGGTGCGTTAACCTCTTAAACAGCATAACAGTGTGCTGAGGACCCTTTGCTGGCTGTCTTACTCTATAAGGGGAGAGAGCAGAGGCAGAATTGGCCCTCTGTAAACACACATATCACTCTTGTCATACAAAATGGAAAATTTTGTCCTGTCACACTGGCAATAAGCTGACCCTACATTACCTCGACTTCATGAGTCTCAAAGCTCCATAAACAGCACAGCACCGCCGGCACCGCACAGACTTCCTCTCCTAAAACATCAGATATGTAAACTACTCGGAGCTGCTGATGACCAATATAAGTTGAATTCCCAATAAGACACTTTAGTGCAATTCAGTGAAACCCTGCATGACATAAGTCAC